TTGCTGATATATGTGAATCTTTATATAAGGGTGGTATTAGCTGTTAAACCCTTAAGTTTTTCATCACAATTAACTAAATTTTTAAGAAGAGATTCCACCCTGACTTCTTGAAATGTATCAGACAAATTGTTAGAGGAAGAGTCTATATCATTTTTGTTATTTTTTTCTATTATATTGGTCACTTCAGTAACTGACTTCTCATCTATTTTAACCTTCTTTTTTTTGACTATTCTTTTTTGAAATCTCTGTAGTCAAAAGGGATATAGATAATACTTCTGATTCCATTTCAAGAATCTGTTCTGTCTTATCCAAAGCAAGTTGATCGAAAGAAGATAAAATAAGCCCTTATTGGAGACATTCATTATTATTTCATATTTTGTAAACACGCTGAGCACTAATATGAAATTTTTCAGTCATTTTTTTAATGCATTAGGTATCCTGCCTCTGGATTCTCTAATTTCTTTGATATCAGCTTTGGTTAACAGGATTGCATTAGATCAATAAAATTTTTTATGGAGATGGGTGATCATTATTTTAATTAGATTATATATGTAAAAAAACTACCAATAATTTTTTCAATACCTTTCAATATGTATCAAATATTTCTAGCAATTCAATATATATCAGTGCCTTTCAAAATGAATCAGTACCTTTCAATATAGATCAGTACTTTTTAACACATATTAGTATTTTTTAATGTATATCAATATTTTCTTTCAGTAAGTATCAATAAATATGAATGTTTGCTAATACTTTTCAATACGAATCAGTGATCTTTTTTTTTCAATGAGTATTAATAAGCAATAGATTCGCCAAAAATAATCATAAGGCCCTAGCTGATTTTTTTTTGTCTGAAGTAAAAAAAAATATTAATAAAATACTCCAGATCTGTACCTTAAAAGATCTGAATAATGGTAATAAACTTGGAGATATTCTAGCTAATTATTATCCTTTCAATCAAACAGATCTTGAAGAACAATTTTCTTGCACAAAAAAGATCGTGAAGTTGCTATATATTGAAAAAGCCAGTTTGTGAATAACTATGATATCTTAGATTGTGAATACAGACGCATGTAAGATGACTTAAATAGATTTAAGAAAGAAAATGAGAAACTTTCCAATCAGATATATCAACTTAGAAAGAAGATAACATGCTTATAATTAAAAATAAACAATCCTAAGCTTATAGACGAGATAAGATAATTGAATTCAAAGATAAATAACCTTAAGCTTCAGATTACTCATAAAGATATTTCTCTTACAGATGCTGAAAGCAAATTCTTTATAAAATCAGAGGAGATGCAAGTCTTCCAATCTAAGATAAAGAGATACAGGTTCTTCAATCAAGAGTAAAAGAATTAGAGCAGGATGTTTTTTTAGCATAGAATGAGTTATCAGAAATAGAATCTCTCAAGCGTAAATTTGAACTAGAAAAGATAGAACTATCTACAAAAATACTAGCCTAAATTTGGCAAAAATGGACTTAGAAGATTCATTGAGCGAAAAAAAAGATGAATTGAAGCATATAAAAGATAATTTAGTTACAGCATAAAAAGCATTAATAAAAAAAAGACTTTCTCCTTCAAGAAGCTAATGATCGTTTAGCTAAGCAGATCCCAAAAATATCTAGTAAGTCTAAAGTGCTTGAAGGTGTTAGCAGACTGAAGAAAGATAATAGTATCACTAGTCTTGAAACAATTCTAAAATTACTCAATTTCTTTTTTTTCAGTATGTAATCATTTTCGTAATAGTATTACTAATTATATACATCCTATAATGCATGTTCTCTTATCTATTTTCTTTTAATTCACCTTACAATGAAGAAAAAAATATTTTGAACTATAAATTATCCTTAAATAGAAATATTCATACAAATTGTATTACATCTGACAGATTGGCTAGAAATATTAACTAATTATGCTGATCATTTTTACTGGCCAGCATTAATACAGGATCACGTTTTTCGCAGTATAGATAATAAATTTTTTACTATTTTATATTAATATTCAAAAATAAATATCATGTGATTTTCCCTTACAGCCCGTAAGCGAAATTTGCTAAGAAAAAAAATAACACTGAATAATGGGATTATAATATCATTGTAATAAATTTATTAATAATATATACAATCTATCTATTTTAACTTAATCAGATGTTACTGTTGAACTATCTTCTAAATTTCTACTTAATCTACGTAAAGGAATATTATGCAGTAAAGATATGTTAACAATTAAAATATTTCACAAAACTAACAAAGTTTTAATGAATTTGACCAGAACAGAAAGTTCATACAAATAATGATTAAAATTATAGATTTGCGTAATTTGTAATAACGATATACTTCAACCTTGTCTCTAATCAGAATATTCAAATATAGCTTTTGTTCCGCTACTTGCACTCCTATAATTCCAAATTGATCCTTCTTAGGTTTGTGACTTTTTTAGACCCAGTATATTCCATTATTAGTTTCACACTATAATTTTACATTATCATTGTCTTTCTTCTGCTTATTACAAAAAATCATGAGCATTTTATGTACATAAGTTCATAAAGTTTATCACTTTTTTTTGACACAAGTATTATATTCAGCTATCTTTCTATACATCACCTCTTCTATCTGAACTTGCTATACTTTGGCATTCAAAACTAAAAAAAGAATTATATTCATCAATTTAAGATTCGTAACTAGCTATAGTAAACATTGATATTACAAAAAACTTACATAGTAATAAATGCATATTCTCTAAAAGGGTTATCAAATAATGTAGCATGAATTGCGAAAACAACTACATTATTAATATAGGTACCCTCATTCATCATTTCAACAAATTCAGGACCAAAAGCTGAATTGCATCAAACACTTTTTAATATATCATGAATTTTTAACGTGATTTTGTTAAGCTTATTATCATCTTCCTTCCAGTTCTCATCATATGTTAATCCTTCTTACAACCTTAGTATACTTCGTGACATAAAATTTATTACGAATTTTACACATTCTTCTAACCTTGAGGTATTGTTGGGGGTACTATTTCTTCAACCAGTTTCTGGAATGAATATAATTAATTTTTAGATGATAAAAATAATATATATTATCTTTTACTATTAAGAAAAGAGAGTATTAGCGAAGATACATACCATAAATTTTTTCTTTTGTTTTTTTGATAATTGAGCTACTAGTAATGAATCACCACTAATGACCTGACTAGCCAAAGGGATCTTTCAGGTTAGTTCAGAGATTTGTTAATCTATTTAAAATAACTACTAACTTCTGGCAAAGTTTTAATGTCCTGGTCTAAATAATACGAATACCTCATATTAGTCTGACTTGTCAGCATGATAAAAAAAAAGATAGTGCTACCTACAGCAAGTTTTCCTTTTAACTTATTTATATTGTATTTAATCTGTTCTGAAGTAAGAGGCTTCTCTTTATTCTACAAGTCAAAAAATTGTTATTAAATATATTTATATTATCTACTCTTTCTTAAAACATATCATTTTTATAATTCTAATATCCTACAAATTACTAATACAATCAAAAGCAATATTGAACTAACGCAGATATACAAATAAGTTAGATAACTGCTGATGTATCAAATGAAAATTTAAATAATCGTGTAGTTATCAAAAAATAACACAAAGAAATCATCTGATATAGCCTGACTACACGAATAAAACTTTGTGTGATACAATATTAATCACATTAAACAAACATGGATTTCAACAAATAACCCTTCACACCATCGAGAAAAATCCTATTGGTAGGCTAATAAGATTTTTATACTGACATACCTATCTCCTCAGAAGTGTTACTATCTACGTACTTATCATTTGATATAATATGATCATAATATTTCACTTATAAAATAGCGTACCTGTGGTATAATTTGAATAAGTTTTCCAGAATGTTTAAAATCTATACCATGTGAGTTTTTTATCAAATTAACCGCTTTTTCTACAACGCCTCTTAATTTGTCTTTACTAATCTAAGAATTTTCTTCTAACCCTTAGTAAATAACAGAGTCTGTCATTAAATGTTCAGTCTTTATGCTGGTCAAATATTCTACAGTATTTACGTATAAATATTCTAAAGATATAATAATGAAGGTAGTCAAAATATAATGTTAGAAGCCTGCTAAGCGAATAAAAATAATGTAAATTTCAATATCTTTTCACCATACTGTCTTTTTAAATGTATTGTAATTTTCCCATTCATATTTTCTCTGAAACTGAGTTTATGTTAAGGTCGAAGTGAGAGAATGTGTGAGGCAGTTTATGCCAAAAGTTTATATTCGAAGATAAGAGCATGCAGAATGTGCATTAAAGATCTTAACTTTTAGAATAGTGTGACAATGCATATACAAACTTTTTTTTTCACTTGCCTGACCGCTTAATAGTTAATACTAAGATCTGACAACATTATATAAATATATTCTGCTCAGAATCGTTGATGTCTCCTTCTGAAGTAAATACATATATCAATAAATGCTATCCTGCTATACATTGTAAGAGAAAAAAATCAAAAATATTTTAGGGATATGTGTGAAAATCAATTTATCACACAAACAGTTACATAAAGTTACAGCTGATTTATATGGTATGTCATTTATTATATTATATATACTTTAACGAGAATCAAAAACGTGCTAATTTATGTCACATATACCTACATGCATTGGCCTTGAAGCGCTTCACATAATGTATTTATACAGGATAATTAGCTAATTTAGTCATATAGATTCTTATTCAAAATCTTATTGGGAGAAGTGTAACATTAATGTTACAGCTAAACCAATAATATCTGGTAAAGTTTTAGAACAGAGTTATTAATATGGTAAAATTGAAACTGAAAATATTATGATTTTAGCTTTGAGAACTGTAACATTAATGTCATACTACTTTACAAATAAAAATTAAAAATAGTTGTAGTAAAGGTCTTAGTAGAGATCGCCTTTTATTATCAAAAGTTACATAAAATACATATAGCAGTAGATATGCATTTATTCGTTTAATCTAGCAATAAAAAAATCAACAACATCTAAAGATAAATTTAAGATTGTAGTAACATTAAAAGACTTTAACCGTTCTATTACTTCTATATCACTAACATTACTAAAGAGTCTGAAAACTTTTTTATCCTGTTCCTTTCTTTTTTGAAGGTTAGTTTCGGTAAGTTTATCTTGCATAGAAATCTGATTCATGATTCTATCATTAACTTTAACATTAGATATATCCTCATTACAAGTTTTTCTAAAATAATCAAACAATTGCTTAATGGCTTGACCAAAATTATAATAGCATCGAAGCAAATCATAAGTGGTTCTTCAAAGATTGTCTTCAGCAGTGTTAATCTTATTATATAAATTGAGAAAATCAAGCGAGTTTACATTTATCTCAAGGATACTCGATTGCAAAATAATAGGATCTCGAAAGAAATTATCTTCTGGAGACTCTGGAGAAGTCAACTCCATAATTAGTTTTTTCAATATAAGGGAAGCATTTCTATTAACCTGTTTCCTAGTCTGCTTCACTTTTTTATTCGAGATTTTTCAGAAGCAAACTCATTAGAACGTTTTTTTCCCACCTTAGTTCCTTCAGATAATTGGCAAATAGGGCATAGCTTTTGCAGGTTATCGATGCAATAATAATGCATAGCATGCTTATAGGGCAAAAATACTAGCAGTCTTAAGGGTATTTAGGAAAAGATTTGGATGATATCTTTAGAACATTTTGCATACGTTAAAACTGCTTTGTTACTTTCAGTTTGTTGATACACAGCAACCTTCACATCTTCTATAGCATTTTCACATATTGTTAATGAAATTATTGTAAACTTTTTGCCCATCAGGGTTGATATAGCCAAAACATTACTTAATTAAGATGATTATGAATCCCTCTTAGCTTCTATAGTGTCAATGTTCTTTTCACAACCAGGGAACAGATAAGAGTTCGAAAGCTTTTTTTCTATACAAAGTCTATAGTAAGTATGGCCCTAGGTGAGCATGGTAAATCCTGTAATAGGAAATGAAAAGATTTCCTCATTACATTCAGAACATGGCCCTAGTTCTGGAATGTCAATATCTCTGACATCTTTCTCTTCGAGACTTTTAAGTATTTTATATCCAAGGATTCTAAGATTAATAAGAAAAGACGATGACACACTACTTTGCTCTGAACCTGATATGATGGATATACTACTAGCTTTTGCCATTACTTCTTGCCAATATTATTCATACAGTCACTTTTATAGTACTTGTAATTTTCGCAGGAGAAAACATTCCCTGAATTTTCATCAGCAATTATACATCACATTTTGTTATTCATTACCCTTTTGCAAATCACAACGATTAGCATCTCATGCGGATAAATAGTTTTTCTAGGGTTAGAGGTAAAGTTTATGTGATATGTTATTTCTGATCTCAGGCTAGGTTTTTATCGATGACCCAAACACGTTGTAGAGTCTTGAGAGAATAGTATCATATGACACATATAATAGTATATGCATAGAGAATTACTTGACACTGAGTCCAAAAGGAGCAATATTCTAGTAAGAATAAGAGTAAAAAAATAAACTGAATATTTATCGCTCCAGAAAAAAAAATCTAATAATTATGTAAACTCTATGACTTAGCTGATCCAATTCGCTCACAAGTCTCACTTATTGCTAGTAGCTGAATATGTGAGATACATATTCGTTTTGATATTTCTCTGATAGCTTAACCCTTATAGCTCTTTTTTCAGTCTCTTCATAAGGAATATCATCTTTGACCATATTCTTATAAATCATAATACGTCAATGCTCATACGGTAAAGTGGTTATACCATCAGATAGGATTTAGTACTTAATATCTATTAGGCAGAGGGCCTTCTTTCAGATTTGACCAGAGATAATATGTGGTCTTTTGATCAAATACCTATATTCTTAGCATAGAATATTTCCTTACCAAAGAGACAATCTCGATAGATTAGAGTCATGAGGTTTGCTTCAGTTCGCATAGCTAATTCCTTAGTTTCTTGCTCCAATAATGAGGACTTATCTATCAGATTATCTTGCAGGAATTCCTCTAAAGATGACATATATGTATTTATTGCCATTTCACTTATACCCTTTTTACTAACCCCTTATACTTAGACTTTGTGAACTTATCAGCTAAGACATAGTGATATAATTTAAAATGAATATGCATAGATTCTGTAATCACATTTCCTGAAGTCTCATCTTTATAAAGTCCAATAGTCTTAGTATCATTAAGATTGAAGAGATCTGGTCATTCAGCCATGTCTTTATAAATATCTTCAATCTTAATTTTGAAATATAAAGGAATCAGTATCCATATAGCCAAGCTAGACCTTATCACCATATCTCTCCTTTATATATCCATACTAGAAGTGATACATGTGAAGCTTGTTAAGATCTAATACTGATGCTCTAACTATTATAAGTTTATTAAGAGTCACGTTAGCCTTTTCCATATGCGTTTCTACTAGTGTATCTTCAAGCTGTCTATCATACTTAAAAGATAGCTTGTTAATCTTATTTAAGAATACCTTTTCATTCCGCTCATTATTCATTTTTATGAGCTTAACATTTTGGTATTTGCAAACATTTTCCATAGTCTTACCATATACAGAATTATTCATAAGCTTAAAGAAGTCTTTTTCAAAGGTATTCTTAGCCTCTTGTCATTTTTCTATATTAAATGCAATATTTGGGATGAGCCAGTTAGTCTGGTCAAAGGAAAGGATCTCTGAAACTTCATCTATAATCATGTCTAACTTTACATAGTATTGAAGCTCTTGATAATGGATGACATAATCATTTCTCAGGCCAAGATGAGGGACTAACTTTTCTGTTTTAAAGAAGCATTCACCATCTAAATTATTCACAAGCTTTATATTATATGGACTTAGCCAATTCTTTTCTATAGTGACATTCTCTACTGCTGAAGGCAAATCTCTCAAATAATCATGAGTCTTAAGAGGGAAATGAGTCTTAATGTTTAAGAAATATTCATGTAAGGCATTTGACTTAATCTTAAGAATCTTTTTGAAATATTTCTTTTGTATAACTGGATTCTTAAGTAAATACTTCCAGCTAGCCTCCCATTGATAATTTCCAATAGGTAAAAACTGACTCATAGTCCAGCCATAAAGATTGTTTGCATTGATATATAAGATCTATGATATGAGTTTGGATGGGTTGAATGTCTTACCCATTTTAGAATTATTGGCCTTGAAATATCACTTATAAGCCTTAGATATGCCACCTCTCTTGGCCTTTTTGATGAAGTTATGTATTGACATATCTGTAAATAGCTCAATCTTAACCTTAGTCTTCTTGAGCATAGCATCCTAAGATAAAAATGGGCTGAAACATAGTGGCTAAGATCGAGTTCATAATATTTTATGCATGTCTTTCAGAATTGAGTTCAGATTTAGCAAGAGAAAATACGTCGATTTTAAGATAAAGATCATGATACTCACCTAAATTCTTACAGCTGAATGTTTTCCATACTTTCTGGATATGATGATAATCCTTCTGCAAGATTTTTCCTTTTTGAATTGTAGTAAATTCGTGAATTAGTAGGAGTTCAGTCTCTAAGAATCTATCTTAAGAATCTATATAGTCATAACAATATATTCTTTTGTGAGTTACTAGAAAAATTTAACCTGGAGTAAAGTCTTGTAAAATTAGCTAAGCTATTATTCATAAACTGCTGGCTATCAATATATTTGAGCTGTCCTACTTTCATTGACTTATATCACTCAAATGTCTCAGCTATAACTTTTATCTGATACGCATTAACTGAGCATTCAACAGATTCACAGATTAAATGAAAATCATAGCCTCTGAAGTTATAAAGACTATTGGGATTGGGATCTTTCATGGTTTGATCTTGAGTTTGAGATTACAATCTCTATAGGCTGATTCTTAAAACTTACCTGTAATATGGTAGTGGTCCCAGACCTTATTAGCCTTAGCTTTTTTACAAGCAATAGTTTTAGTTGCTTTTTCAATAGTTATTTGGATACTATTATATTCTGCTGTTACTTTTTTGAATGTTTTTGCTTCTCTTTAAGACTAACTATTTTACTTTTTAAACGCTTAATTTCCTTTATATTTATATCAAACTTACCTTTACAGATCCAACAAGTATCAGCCTTGACAAATTTCTTGTTGTCTTCTTCAGTTTCTATTTGATCAACTTTGATAGCTAAGACTTTATTGATGCTGACTAGCTCTTGATCAATCCTTCAGACAAATTCTTGGGTAGCATTTTCTCCTCTATATAGGAACAGATTTCATAGATCTTTAGTATCGATCCAATAAATAATATAACAAAAACTGTTTACCTTCTGCTCAGTAAACTTGCGTATTTGCCCATCATAGGATTTGAATAGTTTCATTATCCCACTTGAGCAATCTCACTTCTTATTATCAGCCTCAAAATCTACTATAATTACATATGGAGAATTAATCATTCGGTCATAGTTCTTGAACTACTCAAAATCATTAATCCCTTTTACTGGTAGATTAACTCTTTAGGTCATCTCTCCTAACCTGAAACAATGTTCTCAATGATAGTTTAAAGATTTTTTTAAAGGAAAACTAAATATACAACATCTGTAAAGATGACTTTTTTCTTTATGTGCAATATCTCTAGATACTAATCTGTTAATATTTTTGATCTATAGAAAGTGATTCTTTTGCCCATATTTATCTATGTCCTCTGATTTAATAATATCTGTAAGGGCTAAGAGATCGATTATATATAGTCTTTTGTAATTCTTACTAGCAATTACTACCTTTGGAGTAGCTGTTTTTTCATTCCACTCCCAGATATTGATGGAGATATCTGGATTTATCTCCTCTATCTTATTAAATATACGTGAACAAATTGGAGTAGGTATTGGGATTTCATCTAGCTTGAAAATGTCTAAAAATTTTTGAAGACTTTTTACTTTAAATATACATCTACCAAGATGATTTATAATTTCATCCTGATTAGCGAAATAGCATCCTAATGCATCCTTAGAGACATTTTTCAGATAATGCATTTGTTTTTGAGTTAATAAGACCTTGATTATTCAGATTGATAGTGCACTTTGTATTGGCAAGCCTCTTGGGTGTTAGCTTATATGATCCTCCAATAGCTCGACGGTATGTATAAGATTCTATTAATACCATTTCTAACCGAAG